GCCAGGCTGGCACAATTAACTAACTCAATCCACCCCTTGCCAACCTGGCACCTGTATATAATTTAGCTTCACAATTGCAATTAACACCTATACCATAACCCTATAATCCTGTGTTTTTTCCCCTACCTTTGAAAGTTTGTAAGCCAACTGCTTCATGCCTTTATCTCCCCCAATTTTAGTTATCCAATTTATATACTGCCCACTTATATCAACCCAGTTCTCTGAGAAGACAATCATGTTTTTTGACACGAAGTCTTCATTCCAGTTGGAACCTTGTAAAGTCTGCATCCACAAGCAAAGTCAAATCTAGACAGGCCATCCATAAAGTCAGCAACAATATGCACCAGTTCACAGGCTCAAAAGTCTCCAGCTGGTCGGGTTCTGTGATGGCGTAGTGGGGATCTGTTGGGCTATGAGCCTCAAGCTCGTCGTATGAATCCCCCCACAGCTCGGAGGGAGAGAAGATAAAATGCATTTTAAAATTCTGTTCACTGAAAAGCAGGCTGAAAAGAAATAAAAGAGGGCCGGGGAAACCAGAAGTAACCAATTGAAAAGAAATAGGATCCACACCCAACCTAATTACTTAAATATAAATGGATCAAATACTTGAATTAAAAGGCAGAGATTGTCAGACTAAATCAAAATGTGAGACCTAATGATATACTATTTACAAGAAACACATTTAAAATGTAAATACACAAATGGGTTAATAGTAAAGTATGGAAAAATATATACCGTAAGATGTTAATCATAAGTAAGTCCTCTGGAGTGCTTATATGAATATTTTTTAAAAACCCAAAATACTGTACTTTAGGACAAGATAGATATATTATTAGAGATAAAGAAAACTATTTTGTAATGACAAAACAATCAATAATTCTTGGAGCGGAAAACGCCAACCGCCTAAAAGTGTATGTACTTAGTAACAGAATGTCAACAATCATGAAGCACAAATGACTGAATTGAATGCACAATTATAGTTGGTGGTTTTAACATTCCTTTTCATGGAGCCCTGGTGGTGTAGTGGTTAAGTGTTGGGCTGCGATCTGCATGGTCAGCAGTTCAAAACCACCAGCAGCTCTGTAGAGAAAGACTAGGCTTTCTAATTCCGTGAACAGTGGAAGTGTTGGAAACCCATGAGGAGTCATTGTGAGTCAGCATTGACTCGATGGCAGTGAGTTTTCGAGAAAGCGATATTGACCTTGCAAACAAGGCAGAGGGGAGAGAGGGCTATAGAATTGTTGGAAAGCTCCACCAACCAACCTAACGTCATGAACTTTCCAGACCATTGAAGGCAACCACTGCAAAAATGTAGATTCTTTTCAGGTGGGCACGGAACATTCAACGAGACGGCCATGTGCTGGATCCGGAGATGGCTCTCAAAGAATTCAGAGGACTGGCACTATGGCGAGACTTTGTCTCACGTCCTTTACATGTTATCAGGAGAGACCAGTGCCTGGAAAGGACATCGTGCCTGGTCAAGTGCAAGGGCAGCAGGAGAGAGGAAGCCCCTTGATGGGATGGGCTGATACAACGATGGGCTCAAACATAACAATTAGGACGCCAGTGCAGGACTAGGCAGTGTTTTCTTTTGTTGTACACGGGGTCTCTGAGTCGGAGCCAACTCAGCAGCAGCCAACAGCTGTCTACTTCATTAGAGCAAATAGCCAAGGGCCGCACAGGGGCTATGTCTTCCTCTAAGCCTCGCTCGGAGGAGTCGGGATACCTACAGACTATAAAGTGTGAAGCCACGTGCTTCCCATTTCTCCCCACTTTTCTTGTGTGTGTGCTAAGTGCAGGAAGGTAGAAGGAAGGGCAACTGGCTGGTGGCTGCCATCCTCGGTAGATGGTAGGACATCTAAGTGTACAGAACCTTTGGTGGTGGTGGTGGGTGCCAGCGAATAGGTTTCATCTCAGAGCAAACCTGTGCACAGCAGAGCGAAACACTGCTCGGTCCTGCGCCATCCTCACAATGGTTCCTGTGCCGGCGCCCATTGTTGCAGCCGCTGTGTCTGTCCATCTCGATGGGCGCCTTCCTCTGTTTTGCTGAACCTCCACTTGACCAAACAGGATGTCCTTCTCCAGGGACTGGTCCCTCTTGCCAACGTGTTCCAAGTATGTAAGATGAAGTCTCTCCATAGTACCCTTCCAAATCAAACTCACTGCCATTGAGTCAATGGTGACTCAAATGACCCTTGGGGCAGGGAGAGCTGCTGCTCTTGTGGGTTTCCAAGACACTAACTCTTCATGGAGGTAGAAAGGCCCGTCTTTCTCCTGTGGAATGGCTGGTGGGCTCAAACTGCTGACCTTGCAGATCGAAGCCAAACTTGTAACCCCTATGCCACTGGAGCTCCTCTGATTCCATCTTCAGCAAATGACGGGTATGGGTTCTAAGTAGGGCATGAGGAAAACTAGGCATTGGGGGGGCTGCTTAAGGGAGAGGGGGTGTCTTCACACTCTACAAAGCCAACATTTAGTCAGTGCCAGTGAGCGTACCAGACCTTGTATCCAGTCAGAATTCACTGGCAGAAGGTTTGGGGCTGCAAACAGGGTGGAGAAAGCGCTGATGTGTGAGTCTTGCTCATCTTGAACTCTGCGGCCCCGCTGAGCTTGCTCCTGACCCTGCCTGTCTTGGCTACTAGGTATGTAAAGACCTACCTGCTGCCTGACAGATCTTCCCAGGGCAAACGCAAGACTAGAGTCCAGAAGAACACCGTGGATCCGACCTTCCAGGAGACCTTGAAGGTACTTGCTGTCCAAATATTTATGAGCTGAGTCCTCCCCGGCCCAGGCTGGGGGTGTCGGGGTCAGAGTCAAAGGGACAGTCTTTCCAAACCCTGGGTAAACCTAAGTGCTCTGCACCTCCCTGTCAATCAGTGGCAAGCTGGTATGAAAGAAAAGTCCACCTTTGCCCAGGAAAAGTGCCGCGTCTGCTGTGCTAAGAGTGACATTAGATTAATGATTTCTGGAGAAACGGTGAAAGGGAAGCCAGCAGCCTCTATCAGGCTGACAACCCAGCACAGGGCAATTTAAAACCCGGGTTGGCCTGGTGAGGTTTTATGAGGAACAGAGCAGTGCCAAGGGTGGTGTGGACGCCTGACCTGTGGCCTCTGATTGCAACTCACTGGGACCTGACAGGGCAGAGTTGAAGGGTCCCCTGGTAGGCTCTCCTAGGCTGTAATCCTCTGTGTGTGTGTGTGTGTGTGTGTGTGTGTGTGTGTGTGTGCCCACGCGTAAGTGCATGCACATGGTTCTGTTGTTTCTTGGATCAATCACTGTTTTGTTTTTTCATTTTAACAGTTTTATTGACATATAATTCCATATAATAAATTCAGCCTTTTAAACATACTGAAAAGAGTCGTGCAATCATCACCACTGTTTTGTTTTTTCATTTTAACAGTTTTATTGACATATAATTCCATATCATAAATTCAGCCTTTGAGACACACTGAAAGGAGTCGTGCGATCATCACCACAGTGCATCTTCGGGTATTTTTGTCTTTCCTGGACTCGTGGTTCTTAGCTCCCCTACCCCCTACCCCACTCCTGCCTCCCCTGCCACACCCCCAAGAAACTATGAGTCCAGGTGCTGCCTCTATAGATTTACCTCTCCCGGAGTTCATGTGAAGAACAACCTATAAAAACAAAACAAAGCCCAACAACCATAACAAAATAAAACAGAGGAAAGCCGCAGTTGAAAAGATAACAGGAAATAGTGAAAACGTGAACAAATTTTAACAGGGTCCAAACGGAGAAAAGATAATTAGGCGTTAAAATTTAACCGAACTCCATCAGCATCAGTCCACTTCCCACCCGATTCACGGCCTGGTCAATGCTCAGAGGAGATTCACTGTAGGTGTAACCCAAGTGGGGACCTCGCAATGGGTCTGGGGCTTTCACTGTCCTCCAGAGCCTCCGCTACAATTTTTACGGAAGCCGACCCCACATCGTTTGGTTAGCGGTTGCTTGCTTAACCACTGTACCACCATGAATCCTTGAAGACACTACTGAGTTACTGTCTTCTACAAACTCAAACTCATTGCCCATTTAAGTTAATGCCGACTCACAGAGACCCTACTGGACAGGATAGAACTGCCCCTGTGAGTTTCCCAGACTGGAACTTTTTACAGGCGTAGAAAGCTCCATCTTTCTCCTGAGGAGCGGCTGGTGGTTTCAAACTGCCACCTTTGCAGATTCCAGCCCAAGGGGCAACCACTACGCCACCAGGGCTCCTACCTTCTACAGCTCACTAACTCACTGCTATCGAGCCGATGGTAACTCACAATGACCATATTGAACAGGGTAGAGGGTCCATGTGGGCTTTGGAGACTAACCGTTACCAGGAATGAAAAGCCCATCTTTCTCCCGTGGAGCGGCTGGTGGTTTCGAACCACTGAAAGGGAGCTAGTTGTTTCCGCCAGGGTTTTCTAGAGAAACTGAGCCGTGTGTGTGTGTGTGTGTGTGTGTGTGTGTGTGTGTGTGTGTGTTACACATATTCTATTTTATAATATATACACAGGCAGTCCCTGACCTAGAACAAGGCTCTGTTGGCTCTGATGTAAGCCAATCTCTTTTTTTTAAAAAGTTGTATAATTTTGCTATGAGTAAAAGCAAATATTATCATGAAAATGTGCAACGATCCACAATCAGAAAACCAAAAAGGAGGAATGCATTCAGCATATCTTAAACTGAGAGAACTCAAGGAAAAAATTCAAGCCTCTAGTTGCAGCGATGAAAGATTCTATGGGCAAGATAGTGAATGATGCGGGAAGCCTCCAAGGAAGATGGCAAGAATACACAGAGTCGCTGCACCAGAAAGAGACCGAGAGGCAAAAGCCTTCAGCTGGTACCTGCTACATCCCACCATCTCGGGAGGTAGCACACGAGCAAGAACCAATGGTGCTGAAGGAAGAAGTCCAAGCTGCACTGAAAGCAAGGGCCCCAAACAAGGCTGAACCACTTGGAACCAGCACCTGGCCAAGCCGATACATCAAATTAAGGAGCACACCAGTCAATCGCAAACAGTCTCTCAGAAACCCGAGTAGCTAGTCACCCTTTCTTGGAAGTGAACCCCATTCTTGGACACCCAGGAGGCTTGCTCGCCAGGGCAGGCCCCGGCTGCGGTAAATAAACCCCAGGGTCAATAAGGGCCATGAGAAGTGACCAAAGCCCGCTTAGTGGAAAGTGTGCAGGAAGGCTGAGGGTCTAGACAGGGACCCTCAGAGCATTCTGAGCAGAGCACCCGATGGGGAACCTTTCTCTGCTGTACCCTAAGATCCCTGCGAAGCAGGTCTGAAAGGAGACCCCAGATCTGGTTCCTGCATGCTGCTGTTCCAAGTTCATCGCACACACACCCCCCCACCAAGGGATTAAGAGTCACCCGGGATTGGGGGGAGGGCCGGTCTCAGAAGACAGGTCTGACTCACCTGCACCCGGGATTGGGGGGAGGGCCGGTCTCAGAAGACAGGTCTG